AATATAAAATTAAAAAAAATAAAATAACAAAAAAATCCACGCGTGTATCGCAACTTAACCTTAAAAAAAAAAAAAAAAAAAAAGAATATTTTAATATTTTACTTATTATTATTATTATTATTATTATTAAAAAGAATTTATTAATTAAATAAAACAATAATTTGAAAATATATAATTTAAAAAAAAATCTAATAAAAAATTAATATATTATTTCTATAAATTATTATTATTATTATTTTCCATAATTAAATAAGTATATATCATTTATTGAATCTTTATAGAAAACAAATAATATATGATACATTGTATTATATAAACTATTCTACTGTCTTGAACACTTGTCTTTAACTAATATTTCTAGATGTAACTTTAAAAATGAAAAAAATTGTTCTTTTTATAATTTATCTACTTATGAAGTTTAATTTTAAAGATTATTGTCTGCAGTTTATCACTACAGTTATTCTTTTTATAAATTATATTTAGAAATCTTTGACTATTAATTTATATTTTATATTTATTTTTATATTTGTAATAATTTTAGAATTTAATAAAAAACAATTTTAATTAATTATAAAATTAAAATAAAAATAAAAAAAAATTGTAAAAAAATATATTATGAAATTATAATTTTTAAATAATAAATAAATATTATTTTTTTATATATTATAAGATATATATTTTAGAAGAAAATAGTATTTTTCATGTGTTTTTATAATAAATTAAATGTTAACTTTATAAAAAAAATTTTTTTAATTAATATAACAGTAAATAATATCAAATATTTATAAGTAACTATTTAGAATTAAGATATATTAAATTATAATAATTAAAGATAAGATTAAAAATATATAAAAAATAATTAACTTTGTTTTGAATAAATATTTTAATAATAAAAGTAAGAAGATTAATTGTAGTGTTGCTTTGAAAAAAATATTGATTCAATAATATTATTAGATTTAATTTTGTTTTGAATTGTTTTTAAATAAATAAATAAATAATTGTTAATCCATATATACGGTTTTATCTTTTATATAAAATTTTCAAATTTCAATATTCTATACTTTATTGTTAACTAAAAAAATTTTTTTATTTAAACAAAAATAGATTAGTATTGTTTTTTATATGAAATTTATTCAAATTTTAAAATGAAAAAATTAAATATATTTTGAATTTACTTTTAAAAAAAAATGTTTTATTATTCAAAAGCATTATGATTTAATTAAAAAAACTTTTTTTGATAAAGAATCTTAATTTTTTTGAATCTTGAAAGTTTTTATGTAAATAATATTTGAAGGTTGTTAAAATTTAATTGGATCTAAATATATAACAGTTTAACCAAATGGTTTCATCCTTCGTTGATAGTTTGGGAAAAATTTGATTTGAGGTAGTAAGAATATCTAAATAAATCACAACTATTCTTATCAAAAATTATCCAAAAGTAAAATTAGCTCATTTATGGGATGTTAATTCGAAGTGGTACTTTGTGTATATTACGAGTATTATTAATTTTTATATCAAACTCTGGAATATATATACAAAAACATGTGAATATAATACAATATCTTTCATATTTTTCTGAAGTTGCTATTGCATAATGAGCAGTTCACCTGGAGAATATTAAAATAAGTTCAACGCCTATTTTGTGTGGCAATTTAATCTCTATGTAAATCTAATGTTCATGATCATGAATTTTTATCATAAAATTAGACTAATATATCGAAAATGAAACTGTAAAATACAATAAATGTACAGAAAATAATTGCAGAATGAAGTCATTAAAATAAATAATGAATTTCAATTATTCATCGGATTCTTCACGCGAAATACTGATATAGCACCCCAAAATCGTCCTTATGAGAGTATAACCAGATTTGTCTATTCTCATTTTGATTTCGTTGATTTTTTAGAACATCTTGCACGTAAATTAAGTACTCTTTTTGATGTGGAGGGGCTAAATCCAGCACTATCACATTATAGATGACTATTAATATCATGTATTACTAGAAAACAAATAAAATTTTCACGCAAAAAAATTACCTTTGCTCTTGAATGCTTCATCTTCCAATACGTTACAATCTACAAGTTTGCGCAAGATTTCACGGCTCACATCCAGCGCCAATACTGGAATAACGCCATTTTTGATATGCTCCATGGTTCCAATTATGCTAGAGGAGGCTGATCATCGAATGGATAAATATGGGTAATAAATGCGTTAATTAACTTTCAAAAACAATACATACCTTTATCTATCAACAATTTTTTGTGCTTCATCTTCTTTGAATTTTTAATCGTTGTAGGAAGTCCAACAATGTATATTGATAATTTTGATTGGTGAGTTGAAGAATCGGCTTGTACAGGTAGATTTGAATTGTTGATATCATACGTGGCTATTGGAAATAGAGGATTTGCATATTAATGTAAAGAAAAAATAGATAGAATTGAAAAATAAAAACAAACATTGATCGAGGCCAGAAGCTAGCATATCAATTCTCATTTGTTCGGTAATCTCGCCATGAAGTTTTACGAAAAGTTCGTTTCTTGGAACTGTAACAAGTTTTTTTCTTTTTTTAAAAAAAAAATGTAACATCAAAAGCACACGAAGTTATAAAATCAGTTTAAGAGTTGTCACCTTCTTCTTCAGTCTTTAGCAGCAAATTTTTCACTTTAACAGTAACCAGTGCATCTCTGGAAGAACCGGCCTTGTATAAATCCTGACCTTTGTGCTTAATGATAACGATCCAATTGATGCCTTGCTTCTTGCAAAAGCTTGTAAGAATTCCGGGTGTAAAATCAGGTGGCTCTTCATACATAAAATCTGCTTTGATGTTGTGTGCCCATAATTCACGAACAAGATCTAAGCGTTCTTCCAAAAGGACTTTCCCAAAACTTGCAACATACACATCACACTAAAATAATAATAAAATAATAATAATAATAATCAGGAAAAGATGAAAAGTTTTCGTAAATTGTACCATTATGGAATAAAGCTAGCCTTTGAATGACCCAAACTTTTTTCTTCAACTTTCTTGGCTTGATTCATTTTGAGGAGATCTGATTGATAACTTCTCAGAGTATATACGATTTTCTGAACTGAAATATTAACTCCTATTGCATAGACCGGTTGTTTATTACCAACTTGAACAGGGTTGTGGAATCGCTGCATTAAAGTATCATATCTTCCTCCCGCAGCGAGTACATCTTTATGATTATTATCATCTAAAACTTGAAATATTATGCCATCGTGATAGTGATTGTTATATCTGAAAAATTTGACACAGAAATAATTAATAAATCACCGATTTCATGATGAAAAGTATTTAATATCTGAGATGAATTACGTTAATAGAGGTGCAAATCTTATTTCATAATGAACGCCAAGACATTTAGCATATTTTAACAAGAGTTGAAAATCGTCGATAATCTCTTGGATGCGCGCACGCATTAGGTCCGTTGGTATCAACCTCTTGAAAGCACTGGTGATGAGTTCTAAATCACCTTTAAAAAAATTTTTTTTATTAAAGCACATAAATTTCGAGGAAAAATATTTTTAAAAAAAAACGTCGATACCTTTTATATCAAAAAGAACAAAGTCATCTAGTACACTTCTCGGTAGCTTGTAATCGTTTGAGAGCTGATTCCTCAGTTGATTCATGGTGTGCCTTTGTCCAAGTAGATTACAAATTCCAGTATGGTATTCTTCTGGTATACGACAACAATCAAATATTGTTTTTAGAATATTTGTGTGGTTCACGTAAAAACAGAAATTGACATTCTTCAGTTGAGAAAATTCTTCAATAATTTCATCTACGATTTTAAAGATCTCGGCTTCAGCGACCATTGGGGTGCATGTCGAATGAACTATATCAAAGTCTGCCTCATTAACAAAACGAGGTTGACCACCGACTGCATTTTCCCTAAAAATTTTCAAGAGGACGTCAGTATTATAAAACGAACTGTCAATAATACATGCAAGCCATTTGAAAGAAATATCAACCTGTATACTTGGTCAAAAGTATATCGCTTTAAATCACTAATGTTGTTCCGAGAAACATATCTTGAAAAAGGAACCGTCAGATCGTAGGGGAGCTGTATTCATAAAACCAACCATCTGATTTTCTATTCCAACGGAAAGAAGGCTATTTAATCAAGTTGTCATACCTGAACGATCCCACCTTCAATATCCATCAAGTAAACCACCTTTTTATCTTCATAAATTTCCGATTTCGGCATCAACAATGGAGTGCTTAATTCAACCGCACCATGATGGCGAAATATTTTGGTCAAGACATCTCGAACGCGTCCAAGGATAAGTGCAGTCGATTGGTCGAAGGATGAACCCTATACGATCGCTTAATTAATTTTTCAAACATAATTCAATAAATCGAAATCAAGTCAAAGTTATATTACAGATTTGAAGTCGTAAGTGTAATCCTCATGTTTGTTGGAAGATTGGGAGAACAAAGTAGACAACAAAGTGCGGTAGTATGGTGTATTTGGATTAGCTAAATAAATTAAATATCCGATTAATCCCAAAGAATAGGCGCGCATACATCCTCAATATACGTAAATATCTTTTAGAAACAAACCCATGCTTCTTATGCATTCTTCCATGTATTCATCTTGCACTTTCGCTGGTAACCATTCACTTTTCAAAAGCTCTTGGCTGGTTGGACGATTTTTATAGTTGTGTTGTAAACACCAGCGAATTATGTGCGCCTGATTAACCATTTTATCGATGGGAAAATCTTTAGGAAATACTATTTCTGACTTTCGCAGATCGACAATAATCTGTCGAACGGTCACGAAATTTTGCAGAATTTGTATGAGAACCTTAAAGTGTCGGTCGAAGTAGGAAAGCAAAATCTTACCATACGACGCTCCATCTCGGTTGAAAATTTGTAACAAATTTCAAAGAAAATAATACCTAATGATAATATCGAAAATACATAAAAAAAAACTAATAGGCTTTGATCAAAGTTTTTTTCGACTCACCTAAGGAATATATGTCAACTAGATGTAATAAACGTATATTAAAAATATGAAAAAAATTTACCGAACCAAGTATATACTAAGTTATTAAAAAAAACTAATACCTTTGTGATTGTAATGGGCTCCAATTAATGCATTACCACTAGCAACCTCTGGGGCAACATATAATGTTGTACCAATATCTAGCAATTGAGCACGTGAGTATAGTCATTGAAAAACTACGAGAAGACAAATTACTATTATTACCTCTAGTCAATGAATCCTCCCGGCTGCCCATTCTATCGAGATTGGGTATTCTGAATGACCCAGGATCAAAGAACGCATCACTCGTAGTCGCTAACCCAAAGTCACCAATCTAAAAAAGACAATTTATTACAGAATATAAGATAAATGTCAATCCACCCCTTATTTGATCAATTTACCTTCACGTCGCCGTTGGCATCCAAAAAAATATTACTAGGTTTTAAATCCCTATGAATCTTAATAAAGTCAACGAACGTAAGGATTTTGCTTTTTAAGTCAAAAAAGAATGTAACCGTAAAAAATTTAAATTATTACCGTGCCCTATAAGTAAGAAATATGAATGACGAAATTTTATTTGAATCATGCTTGCAAAGAACAAATATGAAACAATCACATACGCTTCGATGAATATGTGCTAAGAAATGTAAAAAAAAAAAAAAATTATGTCAAATTAATATGAAACTCAAGAAATATAATGAATCATTCAGAAAGATATAAATATTAATGTACCAAGTCCTTCTAGGATTTGACGAAATATTCTAAGACGAAAGAATGCATACTGTGCATTAGATCAATCATAATATGATAGATGCGAATTCTAAACGTAAAAGATGTTTCACCTCCAGCCTTCTTCTGGATTAACTCCAACATCGATGATGTCTTTCAGCGTTTTCTTTTCACAGTATTCCATTTGTATATATAGAATGCGAGTCTTTCCCTCTTTTGATGAAGGCTTTTTAGTAACAGCATTCCGATTTTTGCTTGCGAGCATAACTTTTGTATCTTCCTGCATTTCAAACTCTGAATCAGATTCGGTTGACGCGTAATCTTCGAATTGAATCCCCGAGTACCCATTGCTTTTAGACGCACTGGCGGACAAGAATCCGACATCATCATCGTCCGAAAACACCCCAATGTTCGTCAGACCATCAGAAGATTCATCTTCTTCGCTAGTGGTTATACTTTCGCTAAAAGATTTAGTTTCCTCCCATGCACTATCCGAGTCTAATTTAATACATGTGTCAATGACATTAATTTATGAAAAAAAAAAAAAAAGATGAGTGATACTACCTTCGAACCAAGTAGTGTAATAACGGACTACATATTGATGATGCAACCTTGATAAAGTGGTCACTTCCCTCAATATCTTTCGAGTCTTCTCTATATTTTTCGGATTGAGGCGAACTTTTTTTATTGCGTAATACCTTGTAAGCCCCGTTGGACAATAGAAGGTTAAATCCGATCGTAAACAAGTAATGATAATAAATTATTTTTTTTTTGGCGTGTAAATAAATTACCTACCTGCCATCTAATTTATTCCTCGCCTTAACCACTTCACCAAATGCGCCTGTACTAAAATATTTAAGTAAATCCGATTCGATTTAATTAAAGGTTATGATTTTTTGAACAATCAAATGCAAAATACCTTTTCCGAGAAAATCTATTTCTTCAAAATCAAGACGATATCTCGAGAAAGTCGTATTGCTTTGAGACGAAGGTGACTGAGAAATTGCGGATTGTGAAGCACTCTCACAAATGTTGTCAGGAAGGTCATTATTTTCTTTGGAAAGAATCTGATGGATGTTTCTCGTGTTACTTGTTGCACCTACATTATAAAGAAATATAATATCAAAATAAAAACTAGAATGATCAACAATGAGTTAAACGTATGTTATACTGACCTAATGACACAACGAACTTTAAAGGTGTGTCCAAAAAATTTAAACCTCCACTGAAAAATGGTTTCGTAAGCAACTCTAACGCAGTAGGCCTCTTTTCGTGATTTCTGACCATAAAAGGACGATTAAACAGACTGGCAAGTAGCATCTACAATAAGTTTGATATCGAACTTACTGTTCAAGCATAATTCTCAAAATATCCTGAACATCTGAAGGTACTTCATTTTCAACTGCAATGGAAATACCATATTGAAAAAAGAGAGAAAAAATTTTTATAAACCAATACTCAAATATGACTTACCAGATTCCAACAGATCGTCTAAGGAATCATATTTTTCAATAGAATTTAATCCGAACAACATCTGGACAAAAATTATTCCAAGATACCAAATGTCATTTTTCCTATATAAATCCACAAACATTAATTCCATCACATAATTTTACAATACAATAAAAATACCCAACAGACCTGGAATATAATTTGGGATTTTTTTCTTGTTCTGGAGATGTCCTGAAATTAATTTGAAATATTAAGAAATGTCTGCTAATCTTTATGTTTTGAAAAAAGAAAAGAAAAGGAAGAGTTTACCATCTTTTACACGGTTCTTTACCGGCGCACTGAGAAAATGGATATTTTTGATGCAAGTCTAATTTATTATCAGACAACTAAAATTAATGACTAGTGATTATATGAAGCGCAGACATCCTATACCGACCTAATAACATGCGATGATAATTAAAATCTGATAGTTTTGCGATAAATCCCTCTTTTCCCTCGATCTCGGAAAACAGTATGTTGGAAGCTTTAATGTCTGATCAAAGTCATAATTATAAGTCATTTGCCAATAAACCGATTTTATATTAAAAAAACAAGAAATCAACCTTTATGTACAAAGCTATTGGCGTGGATATAATCCAAGGCATTCAGCAGTTGTCTCATGTATTCTCTTGCCAGAGGTAATCGAACAACTCCACATTTTTTTAATAAATCAACTAATGTACCTCCACGTGCGTACTCCATAAGTATGTGCAAATTCCACCCAGCCTCACACCTTTCAAATTCTGATTCATGGATAATGATTAAATTTGGATGCCTGATTTTTTTCATGCGATCAAAGTCTTTCTCAATTTCTTCAAGCTTTTAACGAAACATTCCAATAAACATTCATTAGACCACATGTCCGAAACAAATCAGTAGTATTAAAACATGTTTCTAGCTACCGTCTTTTTGCTGGAAAGCTCTAAATAATATGGCGAACTTATTACGATATCTTTCAATATCAAAATATGACGACTTAATGAATCCGCATTGATCCCTTGAAAATTTGTGGGTTGAGCCATGTATGTCGAGCCAATAGTTCCTAAAATAAACGATTGAATAATTCATTATGAACAATTTAAAAGTCATTTGATTCTTATTTGAAAAGGCCTATTCTATTACCTTTGCCAATTAGTGGACCGAGAATAACGGATTTGAAAGATGCATCCTCCTGTTATATTTAAGATATTTTAATTAATGGTTTGGTTGATCTAACTTCGCCATGAAGAAAGTGTACCTGTAAATCATTGGAATTTAATACTATCAACTTTTCAAAATCAACCGTTTGAAAGGCAATTGGCGTTCCAATTAATGTCCTTGAATTTTGTTCATCTTTGAATTTCATCATCTTTCTTTTCTGCTTTTCTTCTTCGCTTTTTGCTTTTTTGCGTAATGTTTCTTGTTCGATTTTCTGCATCAATATCATACTCTCTATTTCGCGTTCCTGTTCCTCCAGTTGACGAGCGCGATCCTTCTCTTCTTGTTCCACCTTATTTCAATTATATCCGTGAAAAAATGCATATTATTTATTGTAATTTGGAAATTAATTCTTACCTTAGTCCTCTGTTCAATTCGGTTCAACATTTGTTCATGAAAAGAAGTAAGGTCATTATTAACAATGTGAATTCCGTTATTATTCGTTGTAATAAATTCTTGGACAAATTGTGCAACGGTATAAACCATTTCCTGTCCTAGATTTTCTTTTATTAATCTAGATATGTGTCCTTGAACTTGTTGTAAATGTACTGCTGATAAACCATGAGCATTTTCAATTTTGATATCTGGAGCGGAACGCGGATATGTTTTCGGAAGCCTAGTAAGAAATATAATGAATATGATAAGCTCTTGAGAACTTGATTTCACAATTCCATTTGAATAACATACTTGACGTGCAAATCCACAGACACATGATTCTTTAATTCTTGTTCTTGTGGCCAAAGATGAAGCTTAAATTCATGGCCTGTCGGTGACACCTAATGAAAGGTTTTTGATCCCATTAATAATCAATAAATTTGAACGCAGAGAAGGCGAATGGATGCACGTATATACCTTCCAAGCAGAAGTTACAGTCACTGGTTCATAGTCATCCATGAAAATCGCTATAAGAAAGTTATTTAAATATAATGACCGATTATGACCGCGATCATAAAATAAGATGCATTCCATGTTGGACAGCTATTTTGCACAACGCGTTTCTGAAGCTATTTACAGGCGAATCTCGATGAAACTTGCCTTTCAGGGCCTCTATCTCGTTTTCCTGTGCCTCCTATATGGTAAAAATAACATGAATTGATAGAATTTTTACAATATCGAAGTTATTCCGATATAATTCGATAAAAACGCGTACCTTGGCTTCATCTTTACCCAATTGAGCAGTCAGAAGAGATTGTTGCTTTTTTGATTTTACCATTAGGAAAAATGTATTACCACATGTCTCGGAAAATAAAAGAATTCTCTTGATTTCAGTATATTTAAATTATATTTTAAGACGACTTGTGAGTATTGACTGGGTTAAGTGTAAAAGCATCGATTGTGAATGTGGATGATTTGTGAGCTTGAAGAAAAAATGAACGAATTTGAAATAGAAATAGCACGAATGAGACTAGATGTAATATTTATACATTTTCATGTGATACGAAATTTGTATTGTTGCCTACGACAATTTATATATAATTCGACCTTGTAACTGGGAACACAAATCATCCAAAAAATGAAGTCTAATAAAAAAATATCATCGTTTATTGCTGAATGCATTCATACGTATAATTATTTACATACGCACACGCACCAAGGCTAAAAACGACCTTTTATTTTCCCGACCGTTTACTCTTTCAGTTCCCCCATTGTTTCAAGCATCATTCTGGTGTATTGAAATATATTTTTATGGTATGTGACAATTTATATATTATACAAAACAGGACGTTATTTATACATTGAAGTAAATAGGTCCCAGGTTTGATACGGAACTCATTAAATTATTATTAATTTCCATATCGATATACTACAAATTAATTATGAAATAATAAAAAAATTCTACTTACAGTATTTTTGTTAAAATGAAATTCAATAAACAGAATAATATTGAATTTGAAATAGTTGATATTTACAAGACTTTATTAATTGTTTGATTTGAAAAAATATTTTTGTTTAAAAAAGTTTAGAAACTAAAACAGTTATTAGTCTCTTATTTATTATAATTAATTATTAGTATAAACAATTTTATAATTACTAGATTAATGATCAAAGGTCAAGCAAGTTTGGAAATCTTGTTTGTTCTTTAATTGCATAAAAAAAGATCCATGACAATTCTTTTTTATAATTTTGTTTTTATACATTTTTTTTTATATAAAATTATTAAAATTATTTTTATATCAATCTTTAATATTACAAATTTATTTTTAAAGTTATATTTAAGCAAAGTTATTAAATTTTTTGCTTGTCTTAACTATAGTTCTGAAAATTGGAATCAAACAGAATCGCAAAGAATCGCATAAGGTTCGGAACACTATTAAAAATGATGGTGGGATATATTCCACCTATTAAATTTAAAATAAACTTGAAAATCGAATACAAAATCAAAGAGAATTATTAAAATCCTTAGTCTTAACAATATTGCATTATTTCTTTTTTTTTTTTTATAAATAAACATTATTTCTTTATTTGATTTGTATATATCAGAGTATATATTATAAAAAAAACAATATCTTTTATATATTAATACAATAAGTTAAATACTAACTTGCTTACAGTAACTGTTTAACTTATTTTTTTTTTAATCACATAATCAGATTAAAGTCATTTATTTGTTTAATCAATATCAAACTATTACAAGTATAAGAATACTTGTAAAGTAAAAATTTCCTCAACCTAGCTTATTCATCAACAGCCAAAGTCTTTAAATAAAATTTATGAAATGAAATATTGTTCTCCTGTTGAAAAGAATTAAGATTCTGATACTTTAATAGAATCAAAATTTGTAGATTACCTTTATAGTCATGATTATAAATTCAAATTGTGTTACCTTCTTTTATAAAAATTATATAAGGGAAAATAAAAATAAAAAAAAAATAGAAGAAAAAAAACAGCACAATTGTATATATAAAAAGTAATTAAAAAAAATGAAAAAAACTATTATCTATTTTAACTATTATTGAAAAGATTATCTCAGTAAACTAGAATTTCAAAAAGTATTGAACTCATATCAAATTAGTATCAAAATAGTACTGATTTATAGTAAATTTAATATATGGGTTGTGACCTACTCATATGATTTTATAATAAATTAAAGTATCAAACTGATATTGAAGTAATATCATTAAGAGCCTTACAATAAACTTAAAACTCAAGTCCTTTATGATTTCTCACTTCTTATTACCTATGATCAACCAAATTGTTTAATTTCTATTGAAGTGGTCAATGTTCAAAAATATTTAAAAATATTTTCAAAAGAGTATTTCTTAAAACTTTATATTTAAAAATTTCTAATTAGAAAAAATATTGGTTTTTTATTGTTAATTTTTTTTTAAGCTATATCTTTCTGAAATTATTGCTTTATTCAATTGGTAAATAGTTTTAAAATCACTTTCTTCAATTATTTTTGAGATAAATATCAATACTTCAGCTTGTTACCAAATTGGAATAGAACTTGAATCTTGTTATTACTTCCTATTTTCAAGAAAAAATAAGAAAAAAAAAAAGGAATCATTCCTCTTTTACTTACAACTTCTACTTTATTTAATATATCAGAAAATTTTTTAATATAGAAATTTTTAAAATAATAAACTCTAGAAATTTTTATTTCAAAAAATTTAAAAATTTTCAAAGTGATAATAATTATATTAAAATAAATATTTATTTAATAAATATTTATTACTTTTATCAAATCTTGAAATTATATAAATTAAATTATTTATTGCTCTTATATCTACTAAATTATATATCTCCATTAATTTAAAATATGTATATTCATATATGTATAATGATTTTTTCAATTTAAAATCATACTATTGTACTAATACTAATTAAAATAAAAGTTTTTGAATTGTTTTACTTATTTTTATTATTAATAAAATCTAAAAAAATTATATTAATTTTAAAATAAAATAATATTTATATTTTAAATAATCATAATTATCTTTTTATAACAGATTCTATTATCTATTATATAGTTACATAATTTTTCAGAGTTTATTTTAATTAATATATTACTAAACTATAAAGTGTTATAATATTTATTAGATATTCAAACAATTCTATTATTCTTTATTATAACTGTTCCAAATATTGTTAATATAAAATTAGTTATTAAAATATTCAAAGAATTAAAATATAATTTTAAAATACTTTTAAGATTTTCAAATCCTCATCTATGATTTTTATTGTCTTTTGAAAGAATTTGAAGTACTTTATTTATTAAATTGTTTAATTTTTTTAATTCAAATTTTCATAGTTTATTTGAAAATATAAATACTTTTGGAATAATTATTTGTTCTTTAAAGCTTTGTAAGATTTTATTAATTATTATTTTCTTCAATTTTAAAAATATATAATATTATTAGATATTTCTAGGATTCTGATCGATACTATTCAGTACAGTATTTCATAAAACCGATACCGAAAATACTTTTCAGTATCAGTACCGGTAATTACTGAAAATTTTCAATACGAAACTTTGCAATACCAATACCAAACCGAAAGTACTGAAATTATCGAAATTAAATAAGTTTATATTTTTAACATAGCATATATTTATCATATACAAAAATAATATAATTCAAACATGTATATAAAGTTTCCAGTTTCACCTAGAAATTG